GAAAATATCAAAATTATATTATTACTAATCTACTACTTGTCTTAATAAATAAAAAAATAACACACTAAAAACTTAAGTCATTTTAAATGTTACACGTGAATTTAGGCATCACAACAATATAATGTGCATGAAAAAATATTCCCTAAAGATAACATTTTACAGCATTGTTCATTTTGTAGTGTTTTAATTATTTATTAATTCATTTTTAATTATTTATTAATTTATTATTTATTATTATTATTTTTTGTGAGATATAGATTACTAAAAATAAAGGAAATAATCATGCACACATAAATAGCGACAATACCAATGATAAAAAAATAACTCTAATATCATAATTTAACAATATGGTACTAATACATTGTGCATCCCTAGTTCCACCCACAAGAATTACTTCATGAGACCAAATGTGCTAACAGCATGACATATTCTGAACCCATAAACAGTGAATATGCCTTAAATATCATCAATAACCTGACTTATTTCACAAAAGGTCAGAGAACGTCCACGGTCTTTATAAAAGTGAAATGTGTGGGGCTGTTCTATTATACACAATTTCTAGACTGAGGTCCATCATACATGAAAAGTCCTTTCAACTCTACTTCCTTTCAATGCAAAAGGTGAGAACAAGGACAAAGTGTGCTAGTGGAGACCCAATACCGTGGAACACCAGTGGTCCTTAAAGACCCCTGCGAGACGTTGAATGGACATGCTCTGAGGAAACGCTCCATCAATCCTGCGCTGCTACTCGGTAAATAAAAGGGCTTGCTTCAGACCCACAGCCTTTGAAAAGGGAGACACAGATGGGATCGCGGCCACTTTTAATCAGACAGAGAAGTGGACAGGATCCACAAAGGGAGATTTCACGCAACGCTTCACCTGTCGCCTGGAGTGTTATTGAAGTTGAACCACGGTGCGGCAGGCGCACAGTCGCACACACACCGAAAACACACATACGCATGCTACTCTTTGCTCAGGGATGGTGATCTCGGTCTAGCGCTCCGGTACTGACTGCGGGCCAGACTTGAGACAAGGTCCATAGCCCTGAGCCTCGTCGTCACACTGTGCCCCACTCACACATCCATCTGTGGAAAGCAATACATCTGTTCCCCTGACTATGCAAGGCCAGGCCTTTTGCTACAGATGGTGGTGGCAAGTAGGAATGTGACTTTTGATTTAACTTTTCACATGGAACAGGAATTTAAGCAAGTCAATGAAAAAGCAGCAAAGGATGCATTTGTTTCTAGAGGACAGAAAAAAGAACAAATGAGGGGGAAAAAATGTGATTGTTTGTGTGGCATTTATCACTTTAACACAATTTATTTATTTAGATAAGTGTAAGTGCCTCCATGTGAAACATTTCACCAGGAGAAGACAAGAAGAAAGATAAAAAACACAAATGGGAGGTTTAGAGATGGCGGTATTGATTTGTTAAATAAATGTTTAACTCTTCACCTATTCTTTGACATGCTAACTGCTTAACAAAAATAAAAAGTAAAGATTTAAATAACACTGGATCTGTGAGAAAGCAGTTTCTATATAGCTGGACAAACAGTCTAAAGTTACTTCAGAAACAGTACAACGAGGAGGCAATGGATCAAACTCCCACAATTTAGTCAAAACAGAGCCTCGTCTCATTTTAAACAGTCTTGATTCTCTAGAAAAATCTCTAGAACCAAACTTTTGTAGCCTGTAAAAAATTTTATTTTAATTTTCAGGGATGCACCCTATTATAATTCAGGCTGATACTATGTTGGGTGAAAACTAATAAATATCTAATATTAATAATTGTGTTCTATTTTGTGTAAAAGAAATGACACGCTAAAAACTAAAGATTAAATTTAAGCATCAAAAAAGTAGAGTATGAAAAAAATATTTAACAGTGTTATTAATAAATGTAGTGTTTTTACAAGATTAATTCATTAAGTCATCCATGTGTTAAAAAGGAAATAATTGCACAGTTAAAATATCTAATATCAGCCAATACCAATACATAATAATAATTTATTTACAAATAAAAAACTAAACTAAATAAATAAAGACAAAAACGATATATATCATACATCATCACTAGAAAAAAATACAGTTTTCAGCTTTCAGTGTAGCTTGATTACAAATAAAGCAGCAAACTTTACAATGCACTTTTTTGTGAAATTTGGTTTAAAATTTGGAGATTTTATTTGGAGATATCAATTTGCCCCCATTTAGCTAAACAGGAGCTGAACTTAAGTGCCTATATTTTACGGGGTGTTGCCAAGATGGCCGAAGAGTGGACTGACATATCTTGAAAGGGCTTTGGGTTACTTCCTCTTTGTACAAGCCATTTGATTAATAATATCACTATATGGTATCCTCTTTCAGAATTGCACACTGTACAATATGAGAACACAGGCCTGTGTTGTTATGGATAAAATCAATATCGCTGAGTACTGATATCCGTTGGTTATATCGGTACACTGTATAACTCCTGCACAGATCTTTACATGTGTCTCTATGGAGACATACTGCCTTCAACCAAAATCAAAGTCAACAGCACTTTTGATGGAAATCCAGGGCTGATATCTCTGCTCCTGGTTTCTCCAGCACTATAAAACATGTAGCCAGGCAGGAAAAGAGAGTGGAGGCTTCAATAGCTTATTTCTGCTCCGCTTCTTTACGGCTGAATCATGGCCTCAGAAAGAGAGCTGGCTGTGGGCGATCTCTGCAGCTATGAGTAGACGCTGGCCCACAGAGCAGGGACAAGGCTGCTTTGTTGGGACCCTTCATGCATTGGGTCAGGCTCCTACACAGCGGGCCGGAGGGCCGACGTGGGAAATGCGGCAGCTTGCCACCAGCTTGCGTTCCACCTCAGTAAGCGTCAGAAAGAAATCTGCTGACGCCTGATTGTGCAGATATACATGTCCTGCATGTGTTTGTTGATGTCCTACAAGACAATTTCAGGATAAAGCTAACCTTTTTTCACTTAAAAAAGGCGTTGAATGGCAATTTACAACAGCAAAGAGGCTCTTTAGTCACGCAAGAGGAAGTTTTGCAACACAGAGATTTCCCGTTCTTTAAAATCACAGAGGGAAAGGCACAAAGCCATTGAGAGGGGGCACAGCATCAGCAACCTTTTTAAAAGCTGTTGTAAAGAGGTAAAGCTGACATGGGGTGGCTGTTACATAAGAGGAGAGTGTGTCCATTCATTTTTAATGCAGGTGAGGGCCCTCTCGTTGCAGAAAAGAGAGCAGATGGGCCACTGATGGAGCGCGCAGGCCTTGTGGATGGCTCTGTGCATTCTTCTGCAGTTCTGCCATGCAGGTAATTCACCAGCAGTGTCATCAGCATGAATAAAAGATAACTTGGCCCAGCTGACTCCTTTTATGCAGTTTTAGACATTTTTAGTAAAAGACTTTAAAGGAATACTTTACCCAAAAATGAAAAGTCTGTCATAAATTCTGTTACTCACCCTTATGTCATTCCAAACCTGTATAACCTGTAAACCTGTATTCTTTCCTCTGCAGAACACACACACACACACACACACACACACACACAAACGTTTTGGACCATCAAATGAAAGTCGATGGTCCAAACAACACTGGACCACTCTGACTTTCAATATATGGACGAAAAACAAAGACATTTTTCAAAGCATCTTCTTTTGTGTTCCACAGAAGAAAGAAAGCCATACAGGTACTGTGTGGAATGACATGAGAGTGAGTAAATGATGACATTTTTTTCATTTTTGGGTGAGCTATCCCTTTATTTTACTTAAAAAATGTCTAAAACTGCATAACAATTCAAATTGAACTCCATTCAAATCTTGCTTTACAACAGAAAATATCTAGTGAATGAGAATGCTTTCACAAGTCCCATGTAGACAACTGAGAATATTTGAAAGACTAAAAATAGTATTTATGCATAATATCCCAATTTGTATTCACTTATGATAAAACCTTTTAAAAAAAAGTGTCTATTACGCATGCTACACTGACATTTTGTATTACTATTATTTAGCAAGCAAGTGAGTACTGAATGATAAAAAGATCTAGAATGACGTCAAAGAGACGTTTTGAATGCATTTTTGTTCTTAGCTCACTGATGTTCTCGACCTATAAAACTGGAATGTTGCTTTTGAAAAATGAGGACAGTGCATGCTTGGCAAATACCGCTTTCCGTGTACTGAACACTACAGTAATATGGTTTTGGTTTGCACAGCACTCATATGGCCAGCTGGGAAGGCTTTATGATGAGCACGCAGTTTTACGAATTGTATAAATGGGAACATTTTTACACACTCATTAATTGAGGCAAACATGAATGGTGGACAAAAAAAAAAAAGATGCCATGTGCCCAGTTCAGTTAGGGGGCTGTTACATGATCTATGCCCCTTTGTCAGTTGTGGTACTCAAATACATGTGGACTTATCAGTGGCTGCAGACGTCCTGAACCCTATCTAAGCACGAATGAGAAGGAAACTGTTACATGCTGCCCAGACATCAGTTTGTACCCCATGGTACTATGGAACAACACATGCAGAACATTTGTGCATAGATAATTTCGGACCTTCAACTTTAAACTTATTGCTGTGTTAGACATTAACAAACAACATATTTTGAGAGAATATCTCACACTTTTTGATATAAAGTATTTGCATTATATAACAAAATATAAAAAAACAACAACTGGCAGTTAAAATTGAGGTTAACGAACTTGATGCATTAACAAAAATATTATCTTGGTTGGTTAAAGGTAAAAAGTAAGGAAAAAATGGCTACAAGAAGTGAAAATATTTCTTATAAAGCATAATTTATTTGCAGAAGTCACTTGGTTTTATTTTGTGTTTTCTAATGCAATGAAATTCAAACATTTTAAACTCAATGTTTTAAAGTCAATGTCCAAAAGTCCAATTAACTTTTGGGGCTTAGTACATCAAAAATGACATTTACAGTGAATGTAAAAATCCTTCAATTATCAAAGACTGGTCATTACAGGAATCAGAAGTAGGCCACACTCACCTCTACAATGTCAGAGTTGGTTCTGCTCTCGTGGGGTTCGTTGTATTCTGTGTACTTAAGTAGGACTTTGTCCATGTCAGTGCTGGCATACTGAAAGAGTTTGTTTGAACTGTTGAATATGATCAGGGCAATCTCACAGTCACACAACACGCTCAGCTCATAAGCTTTCTTCATCAAACCAAACTTCCGCTTTGTGAAGGTGACCTGTGAGGAAACAGAGAAAATAACAAGACATGCTCAGTAAAACGATGTTTTATACACAGACACAGCTTGACACTAACTTTTTAGCTCAACAGCCACTGTGACTAGTGGGTTTCCAAAGTTACTAGCCACTCGGCCTTTTCACCATCCACAATTTTGACATCGATATCATGGTGAAAACCTGCCATATAGATTTTTTTTATATATTATCTCATCATTTGGCAGCAGGTGTTAGGCTGCTGTCACTTTAAGACCTGACGCACGGATCCGTCATAGTGTTGCACATGCATTTTCTTTCTCAACTGTTTAAGTGCAATAAGAAGCAAAAAAAAAAACTAAATTTATATGCACGCACTTTGGATGTGGACACAAAATCTGTGGGAATGAGTAAAATTATCCGTAATCCCATGCTGAAATTCAAGCCCTGTAACACCAACAATATTCATCCGGAGCAAATGAAACGAGTGAGTGAGGGAAGGCGGGTTTGTGTGTCAAATCGCTGTCAGAGAGATGAGAGAGCGAGAAAGCGCAGCTGGTCTAGTGCATCTATGCTGCAGACAATGAGTATTGGAAGCATTTCAGATATTTCAGAATCGACATTTTTGACAACACCGCATTGCACTTAGTTTATTATGGATGGATGGATGGATGGCAGACATTTTTGCTGCGGTGCCCGGGGAGCGATTTGGGGTTAGGTGCCTTGCTCAAGGGCACCTCAGTCATTTCCTGCCGGAATTGAGACCTAACTTTAAATCATAAATCAAAACAATTCTCTCACTGTCTCTTTACAATGGTTTTGGACTGATTTTAGATCTGCTAAAAGTCTAATTGTTTTAGTGGACTTTATCTATCCTGGGCCATGTTACTGCGAGATAATGAGTCGAGTAGACAGCAGAGATGCCACAGTGATGTCATGGCCGGTCAGACAGAAGGTCAGTGTGAGGAACGCAACAGAGGCTCCACAGCCTGTGCAATCAGCCCATTAGGGAGACAGCAGGCTCCATCACTCCTGCCTGCATCCCCTGACAGCCTCTTCCTGCAGGACCATCGCTGTAATACGAGCCGGCATGTGCGCTTCTGCAGGTCGCACGTACATGCCCATAACTATCTGACTTTTCAAGAGATGACCGGCCATTATGCACCAAGCTATATGCTTTGCTTTAGATCCGGCTATACAGTAAGCCAAGCCAAGCATGTGTCCTGTTATCCACAAGAAGCTCATTCAGGAGCCTTCAAAAGCCTGAAAATGAATAATGCATTTGTTCAGCTCCCATGTTTAACAAGTGTTGTACAGTGAAGATAGCAGCAGATTTACTTTCATAATATGGGAGCATCAGAACGACATCATGGATGAGCATATGAACACTCAAGATGAACAGGATGTGTCGTGCACATGGCAAAACTTACAGAGATGCCATGGAAAGCTGTGCCTAGAGCGAAAAGAAGTTGGAGAGCGTGTCTATGCGAGGGAGAGAGAGAGGGAGAGAGAGAGCTGTATGATTACTTCCGCCAATTTCACTGACCTACAAAGCAGAGCTGAGCAGATGAGCTGGCTTTGTTCAACTTTAATTGGTCACAGCTTGCAGAAACCCTCATTTCAAACGGTACAATGCAATATAATCCAATGAGCAGCACAGTATCTTTAAATCTATACTGATTTCTGTCCAACTGTGGAGACTCACATGTTCTGCATTACAGGTGATTATAATGCTTAATTTATGTTTTCCATTGAACACAATACAAAGCTGGTCACTCCATTTATGCATATAAAGAGAGAGATCATATTGATATTCTTCAAATGATAAACCATATATATATATATATGAAAATCAATTAACAAATTCCTTCAGATAATTATACAAGCATGCCACAATTCACAAGACTGCAGACACTGCTTAAAATTCCATGTCAGCTACCCAAGTAACTGTTGAACCAAATCAAATTTGTACAGGGCATACATAACACATTAATCTAAATCCGTTCAACCTCCAATGACATGAGGCAATGACACACAGCGGCTTTCATTATCAATAAACAGGAAGCGAATGGAGTGTGCTGGAGGACCAGGACTGTATACTTGAGCAGTCTAGAGAGAGTAGTAAGCTGAGCTCAGGCAGACAGCAGTGTGAATTCCCAGAGCCACAAAGAGCAACTCCCTCCCAGCTGTCATTAGACTCCTCTTGCCTCTCTTGCAGAGCAAACACAGCCAAAGCAGCCTCCAAAATCTCCCTGGACAAGCCTTTTCCAAGTATAACATTATTAAATGCTCCCTCCTACCATAAATGGCAGATTTAATTGTACAACTTAATAGTAGAAAAAGAGAGGGGAACTATAGCCCAAGTAGGTGGCATAGTTCAGGTTGGAGTTGACCTCTGAGGCAGCAGAAGAAAATGTCACCTTTAGTATGGGACAGGCCTTGCTGCATGGTGTGTTCTGTGACATTGTTCCACTCCATTGCTGTTAAGGGCAGTCAGAGTAGTTTCTTGCTGACCCAGAGTAACGATTTATTCTAGCTGCAGTGCAGGACACTGTCACACACACTGCATAAAACCATCCGCATGCAAACAAGAACTTTTAACTCACGTTTAACTTCTTATCATAAAAAGAGCAATTATACTCTTCTCAACCTTGGGCGGCACAATGCACGCCTGTGACGGCAGTGATGACAAACGCAGTTGTCATCTTTACGATAAGTACAGTCTACTAGCCACAGTTTAAGAACGCCACAAATAAGCGCTCTAGCTGCAACAAGGGTTTTTGGGCGAGTCCCCAAACAACAACCCCAGTCTCCCGGGTCACTGCTGAGACAGTGGAAAGCCATTGAGAAATCTGGGGTCATGTGGGAGGTCATTGGCGCTTTTTTCCCACCAGCTCACAGAGAAACACACTCACACAGTAGTTGACTGATTTCAGAGTGTAATTTACTGATCTAGTTACTGTCATGCGAGTTAGGCTGCACAATTTATCGAAATAAAACAGAAATCTATATGGCTTAGTGTGATTATCAAAGTCTGCGATTTAATTAAGTCTAAACACACTACGAGTTTCAGAGTGAAGTGTGGCACTGTGCTTTTTTACACGTAGGCAGCTCATGATTCAGTGTTTTCAATGTCACAGAGTGGCTCGGTTCGCATCAAATGCTGCTCCACACAAACTTATCTATGCATCTGCTCTGAGTTTGGGTTGTTTATAACGTGCATTTGGGAATGCAACATGTGCCAACATCTTCCCATTGTTGTAATGAGAAGTGCTTAAAAACCAGCTGTTGTCAACAAAAGAGAAGCTTTTTGCCAAAATATAAGCTCAATAGTTTTGCGTTTAAAAATGAAGGAATGAATACAGCCATATTTTTAATAATAATTAACAGTAGTTATATTTTATTATTATAATAAAACAATTCTTAACTACTCCATTTTTGTTTTACAGTTACATTTTTCAATAGTATTTTTGGTTTAATATGTGTAATAAGTAATAATTATAAATATAATAATTAAAATAAGAATATTATCATTATTTTATAGTCATACCAACTGCCACATTGTAGAGGTACAATGACATGATTTTGGGCCGAACTGTGCAGACCTACAAAGAAACACAGCAAACCTTTTATTAGAAAAATTGCAGTTAGAATTTTTCCCCAAATCGTGCAACCCTAATAGTAGTCATAAATATAAATATGATATAAAGAATGTCAACACAAAAACATATCGGTAAGAATAATCCCACAAACAGATATTGGGAGCACTTCAACACAGCACCCACAGAAACTAAAGTTTGAGGAAGTAATGTTATGAGTCATGTTTTGTGCTCCAAACTTCCCTTTGTTCCCTACAACTTGTGGCAGTCTTTGATAAGGTCATTCTATCCCAGACATCCAGTAATTATATTAGCATTTCTCATCTAATTGTACAGCAGGAATAAGAACGCTGACCTTTTCACAACTTTTTCAGCATATCAGGTAGTTGCTGGGGTACTAATTCTGCTCTGCCATCATCTCTTCCATGTTGTATCTCTTACTTTTCAGTCTGTCCTCTTTTTGCTGGCAGCGCACTGGGCTGACTTGTATACCGTTGGGTATTGTGGCTTCTTAGAATTTCAAGATACCAGTGAATCAAAGCAAACGGGGATGTGTGTAAGTAAAAATAAATCCTTGCTCCCATAAAGAGGAAATGGGCAATATGTGTGGCTGAAAAGTGTTGAGTAATGCATTTACGTGACCAGAATCTTGAGGAATTCCTTGTTGTGGATTGTGGAGAGACGAAATTGATCATGAAGAAGTGTACCCACGTATTTTAAGGGTATGTGAATACATGTAAATCTGTGTGTGTGTTTCACCTCAGAAAAATGACAATGTCTGGCTTGTCAGTCAAAGGCTCCATCACAGGCTGTCCTTAGGGAGGGGAGTCAACAGGAAAAACAAGCCATGTGGGCCTGTAATGTTCTCTGGCATTGAAGGTGATGCCTCTTACATCGAATAGAGAGCATAGTTAGGGACCAGTGGTGACATATAATTGAAAGCAGCATGTCAGCTTCACTGATCTCGATAACAAATAGCAGGGGGTTTGTGTGGTCCAGAGAGAGTCTCTGCCATAGCACCAGCTGGCAGAGTGACCCAAGCCCCCTGGCTCCTGCGCTCCTGCTTCCCAGCAAAGAGCACTCGGGCCTGGGAGACAGGCAGCGGTCCCTCCCTCCTGTCCGGCTGGATCAGCTTTCACAGGACACAGAGGAAGCCCCAGGTCCACAGTTCAATGCTGGGTTCTGAGCGTTCTAGTACCCAGAGGGCAGAGTCAGCCAGCTGGGACTGTGCCGGTGTGACCTTGTAATTAGACTTATCTCTATGCATTTATCTCTCACACTCATTCACAACATGAACTTCACCTGTGATAATTGGTCTCTTATATTCTGTTCAAAACAGCAAAGCAATTAAGGCAAAACAAGCTAGAAAAAAAACTGTTTATACTTTTAAAGGAATTATTCTGATAGAATGTGATTCCATAACCGAG